GGCCTGACTCGCTGCTCGCTCGTCTCCTGGGGGAGAGGGAGGTCCTGGGGGCGCAGACCCCTGGCCTGGGGTCCGGGGGTATCAGTCCCCCTGCTTCAAACCCGTTTTGTGACCCTCTTCGTGCCCTGGGTTTCCAGAAGTAGCTACTGGACTGTGATTCTTGCGAACTCTAGAATGAGTGGCTGCTTTTACGGCATCTGGTTGAGTCGGGGACCACCCATCTGTGCTCAGTGCAACCCTTTCAACACCAGTTCCTTGACCTCATTTCCACATCAGCCTCCCACTCCGGGGGCCACATCCGAAACCTTGTCGACTACACCTGCTTTGACCTTCTAACCACGACCGATTACACTTCCAGCAGCTCCAGCCACTTCCACCACATTTGTCTGTCAACACCTTCCAGACTCCGGCCCATTGCCCTCTCTGCTTTCTCCCTATCAACCTGCTTCTTCCCTAACCTGTTGGGTTCAAGCTTCATCACCTCAGCCACTCTCCTGCAAGAATCCATGCCCTTGTCCTGCTGTCTTTCCATCACTCCCACCTGGTGAAACCCCAGCCGGTCCACCTACACCTATACCTACACCAAGGTACTACGGAAATCCTGACTGGCAACAGACATTGATGCAATGGAAACATGAGGGACCTCACTGGGACTCTTAACCCTACACAGAGATCCTTCCTCTTCCACAGCTGAGTTTTGACTCCTTTCTCCTCGGTGGCTATTTCAAACCTTGTCCTTCCTCTCTCCTGAAGTCTCTCATCTCTCCCCAATCCTTCTCCCGCTCAGAAGATATCCTTACCTCCCTCCTCAGAGAGGAAATTGAAGCCATCAGGTGGAAACTTTCTCAGCTTTCTGCCATCAGACCTACAAACTTGCCTACTTTTATCTCCTTACTTTCCTCCCTTCCTCCTGTTCTAATGGGAGGAGACCCACCCTCTGATTCCATCCAAGACTGACTGCTGCCTTCCAGGGCTTCCCTGAAGCCACAGGGTCACCATGTACACACCCTCATCGTATTTCAGGCCTTTGCTCCTACTGTCCCCTTGCCTAGAAGATTCTTCTCCACCCTCCCCAACCCTTCATCCCCTTCCTTTTGCCTAATGTCCACTTACCCTTCAGATCCCAACTTAATGGATGAAGACTTTCTTCCAGGAAATAAGGTAGCTTCAGAAGGAGTACTAACTGGACTCTTGTCTGCCAGGCACTGTTCTAGACTCTTGGGATTTGCAGATGAATAACTAGTAACTGTATCATTAGAAGATAATGTTAGTAGACATTCAGGAACCATAGTATTACAGGAAAGAATTCAAATTCACTACCTAGTGTTGTGGCAGAATATTTGCTATCTTGTCTATCCCAGATGCACTGACACAGGATTGTAACAGCCCAGCTCCAACCCTCCTACAAGATGCTCACAATTGGCTGAGGCGACAAGTCGCACGGCCATAAGGAGGTACAAATGAGATTCTTTTCAGGTCAGTTTGAGCCAAGGGTGGAAGAACAGTACAAGTTGGACGTGATTATGTGCCACGTGATCGGCCTGGACAGGAAGTCCTCTGGGGGTCTGGGAAGGAGGGGACCGTTTCAGCAGTGGCATTTCTGCCCATCTCAGAAAAGAAGCACCTGATCTGTGGGAGCTGCTAATGATGGGCTGGGCTGGGTGGGCCTCCTGCTAGGGTCACCCCCTCACCCACCCTGGACATCTAGAGAGGCATCGAAGGATGCGAGAAGGTGCAGGAGGTAGAGGTTTGAGGAGCTGATAGTTTTGCAGCTTTGTGCTGGCGGCTGGCTTCTTGTAAAGGGTTCTGTCAGAACTATCTAAGCAAAGCTCTTCAGCCCTGCAACACCCACCCCAAAAAGACTAAAGTGGATTCTTCATCAGCTATTTTCATATCACCTAAGAATTATGCAATCTTTTGGGGAATCAAATTGGCTTGTCACCCCGTTTGTGTGTGTGAGTGTGTTTGAGTGCGTGTGTGTGTGTGTGTGGTGTGTGTGTATCCCCACGGGGGCATGCCCTGAAATGGTGCTCAGCCTGGGATCTGTTTAATATTCAGCCATGCATGCTTTTTGCTCCCAGGTGCCGTGTACTGCTCAGCCCTAGGGGGAGGCTAGAGGGAAGAAAAGGAAGCTGGCCAGCCAGTTGCTGTGCCTGCGGGCTCCTTAAAGAGATGGCTGACTCGCTGCCTTCCTCCCTCCTCCTTTGAAGAGGCTGTCTTTAAAGGATGACCCTGTAATGCCAGGTCTCTGGCCCTCATACACGGTGGATTCTCAGTAAACGTGGCTGGAGGGCACTGCCCTGCCAGCTTCAGGGTGGACTCACCTCCTTTCCAGCCGTGGGTCTCTCTACCCCCTCACCTCTCTCCCTAGGCTCCAGTTAGCTTGTTCCCCTAGTGGGTCCTCAGCCATTTCATCTCTAGATTCTATGCACCTGCATTCCTGACCCTGCTCCCTTCCTTGAAGTTAATCCAAACGTAGTGATCCTTCAAGGCCCATCTTAAAGTCACCTGCTTTCTTCAAGGCCTTTCCTGACCACCCCCCTACCACACAAACAGACACACACACACACACAAACATACACCCATGAGTTTTCTCTGATCCCCTCTGGTCCGGTGGAACACACCCAAGACAGCACCATGCGTCCTCGCTGGGTCAGCTCCTCTGACCTACGTGATTTTCCTTCTTGCCAATGTAGTTGTAGAAAACAGTTGGACCTCAGGGCTCCGCATGTTAATCAGCGGCAGAGCAGTTTCAGAAACCCAGTCTGGCAGATTCCAATGCCCACCCTGGACTCCAGAGCCCCTCTCCCACCCCTGCATTCCCACCTGCCATTTTGCCTGTCTCCACCTGTTGTGTGGATCATGAGGTGGAAGGCACGGCCTCTGGAGTCAAGGCTTGAGTTTGAATCCCAGCCCCACCACTTGCTAGCTGAAGACCTTGAGTAACTGCTTTAACTTCCCTGGACCTCAGCTTCCACATCTTTAGGACGAGGAGGATAAGAGTAGGATTGCTGTCAGGGTGCACGGAGATAACACGTGTAAAGCTCTCAGCGCGGTGCGTGGCACATGGTCAGTGCTGGGTGAGGGTTAACGGTCAGTATCGCAGTGTTTTTGCCTTACAGATCACGTCTCCTTCTGCAGGTTATGCACTCCTTGTGGGCAGGAACTTGCCTGAGTCCCCTGCTTTGCCCACAGAGCCCCTGCTTGGTGGTCGGTGTTAGCAAATGAGAATTAAACTGATAATGATGGTGACGTTGATTGCACAGCTGGCTTTTCTATGGGAGATCCGGCTAGCCGCCAATTGGTATCCCCCAAGGGTATGTGGCTTGAAGTCTAAATGACCTCTCCCGGGGCTGGGCTGAAGGCAGGAGCTTCATTTTCTTAGCAGCTTGTCCCCAAAGAGCAATTGGCCTCTTTTAGAACTAGCAAATTCTAGATTTTGGAGTCTGCACTCAGTGTCCTACTCTGTCCTCAATCCCATTAGATGTGTCCACTGAGATCATAGATGACCTTCAAGCAGAGGGTGAACTGGGTGGATCCTCTGGCAAAGAGGCCAAGAGGCTGGCACAGGTGGTCAAAGTCTCCTGGTGAATCAGCTTCGTGAGGGGATGGCAAGAAAGACATTTCCAGATAATGACATTCGCCCCTTGAAGCGCTGCAGTTGTTTGTTTGTTTGTTTGTTTGTTTTATTATTTCTGCTGTGTTATTGGAAAACATCCCAAAAATGTATTGCCTGCTTGCCGGTGTTCTTCAGCAAAACACATCAAACATGGTAACTCACCTTGGCTACTGTTGACTAAGTACTTTCACCATCGGGAGCTTGTTGAGTCTTGCCGGGAATCCGTGGGGGGGCAGGATTATTGTCTCCTCCTTGCAGATGGAGACGCTAAGGCTCAGGGAGCTTAAATGTCTCTGCCATGCTGTGGGCCCTCTCTTTTCTCGGTGCCTGGAAGTCATCACTGTGCTGCAGGTGCAATGCTGTTGATATGGCTAGAACTGGCTCCCACCCTCAGTGGCCCCCGGGCTCGCAGGCTTGGTCAGTTACCACTGTAATCATCCCTCCCTGTCCCTTGCCTTCCTGCTGAGAGCAGCCGCTGTAGTTCCATTCCTGTTCAACTTCTGGGTCTGAGAAAAAATGAGGCTGGTACCTTGCTAGAAGCTTGTCTCAAATAGGAGCATGGAGGCATGTCCCTGGATGCTTGGGGCCATCTTTGGTTTTGTTTTCCCAGCTGTATTTCAGAGAGGTACAGTGCTTGACTCGGGGACCCACAGGTAAGCAAGAGAAATGCTTAGGGGTTAGAGGTGCTGCCTTTGGAGTCAGACACACCTGGGTTAAGTCCTGGCTCTGTCCATTTGCAGGGCAAAGTACCTAACCTCTGCCAGTCTCCACTCCCTCGTCTGCTAACTGGGGTTGATCCTCTGTGCCTCTTTGGAAGGACTGATAGAGGATTCAAGGATCCATGTGCCATGCTTAGCCCCATTCTGGTCCTCAGTGGTTGTAGCTTTCTTTTGATTTCTATGACTTGAAGCAGGATTGGACTCTGATCATTCATTCGTTCCTCAAATATTTACTCGCTGCCCACCTCTCCGCACCTAGGTTCCCTGTCTACAAAATGAGGACACTAATAGCACTCATCCAGCGGGGGATATGAGGGCTTAATGAGTAAATACGTGTGAAGCGCTCAGAAACCGTGCAAGGTATAAAATAAGTGAGACAAATGACACCCATCCTCATCATTCATATTAGTTGGTGCCGAGTACTGTGCTGGTTAGACTCCAGGCGAACAAAATAGAGTGGCCTTTGACTTATGATCTTACAGGCTCTCTCCTTCTCCACAGGGAGAAAAGCCAACCAATGTTTCATCGTTGTCCACGTAAGATGAATCGATGGGAGGGTAGGTTTCAGGGACCCGTCAGCTTGCTGGCTGCTGCCCTGGAGGCTGGCATAGGAATCATGCCTCATTCCCTACCATGTCCCCCCTTCATTCAGTCTCTGGGCCTCTGGCCCGGTGCTCTTGGTTGGGTTCGGCACATTCTCAAGCACCCTCGAAGGATTAGTCAAAAGGAGAGAATTTTGTCCCTCTTGCCTGAGGCATAGCTGTGAAGGTCGGTCTGTGAAAAGGCTCTACGGCCTTCCAAATGCCACAGGGAGGGAGCAGGGAGCAGGGAGCAGGGAGCCGCGAGGTGGGGCAAGCCATGGCCTTGGAGCTCCGGAGCAGAGGTTAGTTCTCGTCCCACCGCCTGGTAGCTGCATGGATCTTTTCAGGTCACTTCTCCTCTCTGAGTTGGTTTCTCAACTGTCAAATGGGTAAGTGATAGGCCCCACCTGGTGGGGTTATAATGCAGCAGAATACAAATTTAAGGTCATTCAAGGTCCCCTCATATTTCTCCTTCCTTTTAGAGGTAAGTTCCCTGCTCCCGTCTCTGAGCTCAAAGGCATTTATTTACACAACCACCAGAGCAATGCTCATCACTATGCGTCTGCTTAGATCGGCCTTCCTGGACCCAGACTCTGAGATGGAGAAGTGCATAGCCAGGAGGCTCCCTGGAGAGGCACCGTGAAGAAGTGAACAATGCAGGATTGGGGACAGGCGGCAGCTGGCACACAGGGGTAGTTGCTGAGTCCACAGCTGGTCCTCCAGGGTGCTCTGGGCCTGGGATGGCCTCTCAGAGCTGCCCTGAAGGAGGCAAGGGGAGAGCCCTTAATTTTATTTTTATTTTTATCTATTGAATTATGGTTGACAAGCAATATTATGTTAATTTCAGGTGTGCAACATAGCAACTGACTAAATACATTAAGAAATGACCAACATGGTAGATCTATTAACCATCTGTCACCGTACAAAATTATTAAAGGATTATTAACTATATTCCTTTGACTTACTTTATAACTGGAAATTTGTACCTCTCAATCTCTTTCAGCTATTTTGTTCGACCCCCCACTTATCTCCCCTCTGGTGACCACCTGTGTGTTCTCTGTATCTGTGACTCTGTTTCTGCTCTGTTTGTTTGTTTGTTCTGGTTCTTAGAAACCACATTTAAGTGAAATCATGTTGTCTTTCTCTGTCTGACTTATTTCACTTGGCAAAATGCCCTCTAGGCCCATCCACGTTGTTGCAAACGGCAAAATCTTATTCTTTATGGCTGAGTAATACTCCATTATATACATATACATGTATATATACACCACATTATATACATATACATGTATACATACACCACATCTTCTTTATCAATTCATCTATCGATGGACGCTCAGGTTGCTTTCATAGCTTGCCTATTGTATATAGTGCCACAGTGAATGTCGGGGCTGTGTATCTTTTTGAATTATTGTTTTTGTTTTCTCCGAGTAAATACCCAGAAGTGGAATAGTTGGAGCGTATGGTAGTTCTATTTTTAATTTTTTGAGGAAACGTCACACTGTTTTCCTAGTGGCTGCACCAGTCTACATTCCCACCAACAGTGCATGAGTGTTCCTTTGTCTCAACATCCAAGGGGGGGTGGGGGTTGGCCATTTAAATCATCACCTCAGCCAGGGGCTACTCCTCCCTCCATCAACGGGAGGGGTCACGACCTCTGACCAGACAGTTCCCTGCAGCAGGGGCAATTCCCAGTGAGCGATGAGAGTGTCAGGAACAGCTGGCATCCCATCCCTAAAGCAGGGACCTGGCAGAGATTCTGCCGAGCATTCAGAAAGCAATGGAGAACCAAACACAGAATTTCTGCCCACACGGGGCTTTTGATCCTTATATATGGTCTGTATTTACCTATTTGTCTCTCCCGCCAGCTTGGAGACCTCCTCGGGCCAGGATCTTGTCTCATTAGAGGAACACATAGTTGGTGCTTAATCAGCGCGTGCAGTCTCATCCCCGGTAGCGCACCCAGGTCCCTTTCTTTGTCTCTCCCAAGTGTCATCACTCGCTCTTTTGAAAGATATTAGCCCTTTATTGTGGGCTAAATCATCACGTCATTATTTTCCTTTTTCAAAAGAGATAAAGGAAGCCAGCCTCTAAAGAGGGAACTTCATTTTAGAACATCCCCATGCAGCATTCGAAACAAAGGCTGGCTGGGCCCTGACCAGGCCAAGTCCCAGCCTCTTAGCACCCACCAGAACCCTGCCTAAGAGGACAAAAATCACAAAGGCACCTGATTAACTCTCCCAGGACTCTGCAGCAGGATGCTCTTTTGGAAATTTTCCTGGGAAACTTGACCACAGAGTGCAAATCTAGCCGAAGCCCTACACCTGCCAAGTCCTCTAGGCTCGGCCGAGCTATTGTACATACTCCAAGTCCGACGTTATCAGATTTCGCCTAGTTTATGATGGGATGCATAAAAACCACTTGTGTTTAAAGAGAGCTGTTGACTGATCAAGGGGGCTGCACGTGAGGACTGGGACCCTGAGCCCACCTTCCCCTCTGTCGTCCGGTGGGAAGTGTGCCGGATGTGGTCACCGCTACCAGTGCTAACAGCAGTAAGAAGGGTGCACTCGCCTGGCCCAGCGTCCTAATAGTGCCGAGCAGTTTCACCTGCATTGTGCCAGTTGGTCCCTAAAAGTCTGTGCAGCAGCAGTGGGCTGTGCGAGCACAAGGAAGTTGTCCAAACCCTCCGGGCCTCAGTTTCTCTGTCTCTAAACTGATAACAGAGCCTCTCAAGTTATTATGAGGATTAAATAATGTAATAACCAGGAAGCCCTTAAAGAAAATAGCACCTGACATTTACTATTTCTAAATACATGTTTGAAATTACTGATGGGCAATTTTAGTCTCACTCGTCAGAAGAGGAAACTGAGATTCAGAGGCACTAAGTTTATGAATAAAATGTTTGGGCAGCAAGGAAGGACAACATGGGACTGGGTTGGGGGTGAGGGTGGGATGCCATGCAAATGGGGCCAGAATTTCTCACACTGGATTTCATCACAAACCATTTAGCATTTGCCTCTCAACCTGGGAACAGAGGAAATACAAACTCCCCAAAGGGGGAAAAAAAAGATGAAGGAATAGTGTTGCCAAAGAAAGGAATTTAAAAAAAAAACTTGCACTTTTTAAACAATTGAACCCTTTTTACCTTTATATGTAAGTTTGAATACCAGAAGGGGTATCATATTCAGAGATAATTGGGTTTAGAAAAGGTCTCTTTGCTCTGAACCTCCACTGAGGGCTTCAAAGCCCTGTGCTGTAGTTGTGCTTTGGCGCTCACATGGTCTCCCTCATTTTGGTCTTTTCCTCCTCAAACAGGAGTTCAACTGGCAGAGCCCTGGGGAAGCTGAGGAAGGTGTGGTCCTGGCGCCTTGGACCCCCTGGTCTCCTTGGGAATGAAGGTCTTCAGGGTTCTCGTGGTCTTTGCCTCCTGCCGTAAGTAGTAGCATCTGGGGAAGGTCCAAGGCACTGTCGTCCTGTGTGTCTCTGTCCGGGGGGTGGCCCCTCCTCATGTGGTATCAGGTCGGGGGAAACCAGGTGTCACTCAGAAGAGAATCGAGTATGAAACGGGCTCCCACCAGAGTCCTCCTTCTTCTGTTTCTTCTGCAAAATGGATCGATCCCAGTCCTGGGATCCCACAGAACATCAAGGAAAACAGGTTGCTAACCGTTTGCTAAGAAAAAGGGCATTTGACTACTGTTTTGCCCCAACCCCCACCCCCTGCATGAGTCCTTTTTTCCCTTTGGATGACAGTTGCCTTTAATTAAAGTCATGTGGATTCCAGACCAAAAATGCATCCATATATCTAGCTAATTTAGAAATGATTAATTCTCATCAGAAAGGCATTCTTCTGGTGATTTATGGAATACTTGGTAATCGTAGGGCTTTACTACCAGGAGATGAGATTACGTATCTCTGCAAAGTGAAAGAAAATTTACCAGGAAACAGTGATGGGTCTGTTGAAAAACCCTTCAACTCATTGGTTTCTTTGATTCGTTGAGAAGAGATTTGCCCAGGTCCATTTTTCTATCTGTTTCAGAGGTGATGCAATCACGTTTGGGTTCCCTAAAGTCAAAAGGTCAGAAATGGGGTTCCCGTTTCCTGTCATCAGTGATAGAATTTACACTTTTTCAAGATCGTGCTGTTAGAGGCAGAGAGCCCTGCGTAGGAGGTCATTTCTGCAGGCAGGCCCCACAGTGTTCCCCCGAGGTTGAGAGCGGTGCGGGAGTGTGGTCCCGCCCTCTCTCCAGGGGCTGCTCCGGCAGCAGGGACCCACCGCCAGGCTTCAGCATCCTTTGCGGTCCTTTGTGACCACTAGGCATCCAAAACCCACAGCATGAGATGGGAAGGCTCCCGGGAAAAATTTCCCCAACGCCCCCTGCCCCATCTTTGATATTCTTCTTCAAGTTCATATTTTATTTTACTTCTACTGTAAAATTATTATCAGCTTGTAATGAAAAAAGTAAAATGAATGAGTATAGAGTGACCAAATAATGCCCCTTCTCATCCTTCCCAGACCCCGATCCTTTTCCTACACCCAGACGTAACCACTCTGGAGTTTGACATGCATCCTTCCAGGCCTTTACACATGTAGGTTGCAAACATTCCAACAGAAAAGCAATACCTGCAGATTGTGGAAAAAAAAAATCCAGACAGCATAAAAGTGTTTAAAATAAACGTTGCTTGTTTTTTCCCTCCACCTACTTCCTCCCCCTCATTGCCTAGTGATATTGCTATTAACAGCAGGATACTTTCAAGGCATCATTTAGTTATTATCTCCCTGTCAGTGGGCATGTAGGTAGTTTCCAATTTTTTGCTGTCACAAATAATGTTGAAGCAAAACATTTCTGTGTGTGTATGTGTGTATATATATATTTTTTTCTCTCACTTTCCTAAGTGAGTTTTGTAGAAGTAAAAATTGCTAGGTCTATGTGTATTTGCGATTTAAAAAAATGGACTGAGGGCAACTTTTTATGCCTCTTAAGTTATTCTGTTTCTCCTGCGAGATTGTAAATGCCCAGTGATGCTTGCAGGGATTGGCACTTCTGGCTTCCAACGTTTCCTGTTAGTATTTAACATCAGACCTGAGGGTGTTCCTGCCTCGGATGGTGGGGGAAGACTGTAGTGGACAATATTGTCGTGAACATCACGGGGACTGGGTTCTCATCCTGCACCAGCAAGGAACTAGCTGTGTGCCCCGGGAGAGCTGGTCCTGTCTTCTCCCCGCATCAGAGGGGTTCCTATGCCCGGGCACCGCGTTTAGGGGGTCTCCTCATATCCGAATGCCAGGTGCTCTGGTTAGGGGACGCGAAGGCAGCATCCTTCTTACCACATCTCTCTTCTTCCTTGTTTTCTCGTTGGCAGTGATGGCCCCCACCCACAGCAGCTTCTGGCAGTTTCAAAGGATGGTCAAACGCATCACCGGGCGAAGTGCCTTCTTCTCCTATTACGGATATGGCTGCTACTGTGGGCTTGGGGGCAAAGGGACCCCCGTGGATGACACTGACAGGTGAGTGCTGCGACCCCGAGAACTCCCATCTTTCGATTTGCATTGAAAAGAGAGCAGGTATTGGGACTTGCATTGCAAGGAACCAAAACCAGTTCAGGTGAGCCTGAGCGTAAAAATAAAATTGAATGGGAGTGGGAGGGCGGTCTGGAGCAAGCCATGGCCAGGGCTGCGCAGAGCCTCAGAGCCTGCACGTGGTTCATGGCTCTGCTGTCACCCCCTTGAAATGCCTCATAATGCTTGAACAAGAGGCCCCGCATTTTCATGTTGCACCAGGCTTTGCAGATTAGGTGGTCAGCCCTGCCCAGAGCTCAGAAACATTTTTCATTCCTCAGTCCTCATGGTAAATGCGGTCTTCTCTCCCGGCCCCCAGTTTTAGAATTACAGGAGCAGTAAGACTGAGCCGCTCTCTCCCAGTCCTAATTCCATTTTCCAGGAGAGAGATTCCGAGTGGCCCAGTTTGGAGAAGATGTCCATCTGGGTGTGGACACATGGCACAAACTTGGCTGCCAGACCTACTTCCAAGGATGGGGGTGGGGCAGTGTGAGTTCCCAGAAAAGGTGGAGGTTGGTGTAATCCGGGGAGAGAATGGGGAGGGAGGAAACAGGATGGTTTGTGTGTCTTTTCATCTGAAGAAATAAGAAGCAAAATGTCCCAGCAGGGCCTGAGTATCACCCCTGGAGCTGGATTCCTCTGGGTTGGACTCTTGAGACCACAGACTGCTCCAGCTGGAAGGACCCTAGGGCCCCGGAGGGGACAGACACGGACGAAATGCCCGTCACATCCCGAGCACTGGGATTGGTGGTTTGCATGCAGGGCACCAATTCAGTCCACCCAGTGCATGGCCGAGGCCGTGCCACCCTCCCATTCTACAAGTGATGACAGTGAGGACCCACTAGACAAAGTGACAGAGCCCAGACACGCAGCCCCCGAGCGCAGGGTCAGGGTTTGAACCAGAATTTGCAAGTTTCAAAGTCCAGGCCCTTTGACACTCTGTGCCTCCCCTTCCCAGTCCTAAGGCTGATGAGAATTTCAACACTGTTAGCCAAAAATAAAGACGGCAGAGAGCCCAAGTGCGGCTGGGGATGGGGAGGCTGCCAGGGTATCGGCCAATAGCGGCTCCTTCCCATGTCTTAGCATCCAGCCCCGGACACGGTTGAGAATACGGCCGAGGCTGTCCCGCAGCTGTTTCCTCTCCTCCTCAAGAGGGTTCTCCCTCTTCCCCCGCCCAACTCTGAGCATCAAGAGAGCAAAGACTAAAGAAGTTTGTGTGATGTGCTGACCCGGCTCCTAGAGCCTCTCCCAGGGCTGGGCACAGAGTGGGTGCTCAGTCAAAAGTCATTAAATGAATGAATGAGTCATGGGGACCTAGATTCGAGGCTCGACCCCATGACTTTCCAGCCATGTGATTCTGGGCCATTCACTTCTGAATCTTGTTTCCTCCCTGGGAAAATGGGGACAGCGATGGCACATCGCAGGGTTCCTGTGAGGGGCTCATGCAGCAGCTGGAGGCAGAGAAAGGGCTTTCTCTCTGCTGTTTAATATCATTAGGGATTTACCTCCTGGGCTTCCGCACCTCCTCCCCCAGGGTGAGTCCTTCCCAGCTGGGTCCCCAGGGCCACCCGCAGGGACAGCCCCTCACCTCCGTCCCGTCTGGCCCCCAGGTGCTGCCTGGCCCACGACTGCTGCTACGAGAAGCTGAAGCGGCTGGGCTGCCAGCCGGTGCTGAACAGCTACCAGTTCCGTGTCGCCAATGGGACCGTGCTCTGTGAGTCGCCTTCTGTCGGGGGTGTCTTTGAACCTGGGCCTTCTTTAAGGTCTGCCTCTTCGTGGACCCAGAGAACTTTGGGGAAATGGAATTTTTCCAAGGGCTTTGGGAAGGGAAGCAGCAATTCTGAGGATCAGTGCTTCCCAAGAGTGTCCTGGCTCGGTCTCTCCCTGGGGGTCCCCGCTCACAGCTGTGCGGTGCCACCGCCCGGAGCGCGGTCGCGGGGCACGGTGCGCAGTGTAGACAGGCGTGGACTCGGCACAGAGCTGCCGACTCGGGACTGCACTGAATCTCGCAGCTTCACTTGGCAGCTGTTGCTGCTGCGAACGCTCTTCCTGATGTCTGTCGTGCGTTAACTAGGCGGCTCGGCTCTCCTTCAGTTGCGCAAATATTTGTGAAGGGTGATTGCGTGCCAGGCACTGGGATGGGTGCCGTGGGGGACACCAAAGTAAATAGGAGGGGATGGGGAAGGGAACCCACGTGTCATCGAGGCCATTCAAGGAGAAGGGCAAAGGACAAGGGTGGGCAAGTGCTAAGAGGCCAGCACATGGGGAGGGGCCCCGTACCCCACAGCGTGTCCTGGGGCTGCTGGGGTCTGGGTGTGTCAGGCAAGTTCCATCTAACGAGCAAGCAGGCGCCGGGCCCATCCTTCTTGTGGCCGCTCAGCTCAGCGGTGGTTTGCATGCCCCGTGGAGCGTGTGACTTGCCTTCTGCTGGGCCTTGTGGAGCTGGTGTGAACCACCGTTCCCTCATTGTGTATTTATTCACAGCTGTCAGTGTGTCTTGGAGACCACCTGTCTCCTCCCGAGGTCAGGGGACCATCTCCCTTCAGCCATCCCAGTGCCCCCTACCCAGGGCTCCGGCTCTGGACACAGAGAGTCAGGGCGGAGCCATCTCCCTGGTCCCAGTGGTGAGACCTGAAATGTGGTGGGCCAGCAGCTTGGAGCCCTGTGAGTGGGAGGCTAGCTTCTCAGCACCCCCAGGCACACTGCCGATGGGGAGGAAACTCCGTTTTCCCCGTGTGAGCTGGAGGAGACTTCTGTGCTGGAGCTCTCTGGCCATGACCACCCTCAGGCCTAAAGCAAGGTGTCTCTTCTGTGAGGACCCCAAGGCCATGTCCAGGAGATGGGAAGGGAGTGGGACCTGGTGGAGGGGCAGGGGGTACGAGACCAGAGGTGATTGTCGCCAAAGCACTGTTTGCTTCAGCACTCGATGCCCACCAGAGGCCAGGGACCGAGTTTCTGACCGCTTCCTCCCACCCCTCTTGGCCCCACGTGGTGGGGGCCAGGGGCAGGCCTGGCTGTTGGTTGGTGAGGGAGGGGCACACAGAAGAGATGCCCCCGACTCTCCTCAGCCTGGTTCATAGTCTCGCTTTCACATGGTTTTTTCTCACCTCTTTTCATCTTGTCTTGGCAAGTGTTACCTTTAAATGGTGGAAAAACCATCACTTTTAGAGAAAATATACTCCAAGCACTCTCTCCTCTGATCCCCCAGAAAGCGCAGGGACCAAGGAAAGAGGGAAGCGGTGCTCTAGGAGGGAAGTGGAATTTCGGTAGCTGCACAGGACCTCGCCACCCTGCGATCCCAGGCCCAGACTAAGCCTCCGCCCCTGCTCCTGTGGGCTGGCCACCCTCACGGGGCCTGGCTGGGCGCTCTGCACCAGGAGTAGCTCCTTAATCAGTCCTCTTCACCCTCCCAGGTCGGGGCCAGAGCCACAGCCCAGGACCCCAGGGGACGGAGGGGTTGGAGGAAAGTGAGCTGGGGGCAGAGGCTGGATGGAACCCCAGGAGGTGGTGATACAGGAAAAATGTGGGGCGAGAGGAAGGCCGTGTCCCAGGTTTTGGCTGAGTCCCTGGCATGTGCCCCACCAAGTGTGGGCCCTTGGTTTCATGCAGGAAACAATTCAAGAGAGAGCCACAGTTGAGTAAAAGTAGACTTATTCAGGGAGATGCACACTGCACAGAGTGCAGGCTGTCTCACTCAGCAGGGAGGGCGGCCACGGGCGTGGGGGGTGTTAGTTTTTATGGGCTCGGTACCTTCATACGCTAACAAGTGGGTGGATTATTCCAACTACTTTGGGAAAGGGCGGGGATTCCCGGGAGCTGGGCCACCCTCCGCTTTTTGACCTCTTGCGGTCAGCCTCAGACCTGTCGTGGCACCTGCAGGAGCGCCATTTACCACGTTACTGTATCACAGTGAGCATATACTGAAACTCAAGGTCCACTCGAAGTCAAATCTCCCATCATTCTGGGCCTCAAGGTCTGTTGGCGGTGGAATTTTCCATTTTCCACCGTCTTGGTGTTAACTGCTGTGTCATTTCTTGAATGTGCCCTGCCCTCTTCTTTCCTGTCTCCAGTGGTGCAGGATGAGGTCTCTGCTTGGCACAGCATGCTGGGGTGGGGGGAGGTGCGGGCAGGGGCTGAGAGCTGGACCGGAAAGCTCGTGGCCTGGGCTGCGCTTTCTGCAGGTGCTCCCCTTGCCAAGCAGCAGTGGCCAGTTGTTCCTGAAGCTTGACCGGGGCTCCCGGAGTCCGGCTTAGGGGTCAGCAGGGAGGGATGCTTCCCCACCCCGACCAGGAC